TGTAAGCTTAAAAGAAAAAATTACATCCCATGCATGGCAGCTTCAACATTCCTATCAATTCCCTGGTCAATCTTTCAAGTGGTTAAGAAGTAAATAAAAATGCATGCATTGTAGAAAATATTCTTCCAGATTATATTTCTGATAAAGTAACAAGAGGTAAGATCTCCAAATAATGATGTTAATGGTGACTGTGGTGCAATCAGAGGCAACTAACAGCTTTTAAGCACTAACTCTGTGTCAGGCCTTGTTCTGATTATTTTACATGTATTTACATAACTTAATCCTCAAACCTATGAGATAAAATTGACATATAACATTTTATTAGTTTCAAGTATACAACATAATTCTATATATTTGTATATATTGTGAAATGATCACCACAATAAATCTTGTTAACATTCATCCCCATACATAGCTACAAAATTTTTCTTACAATGAGAATTTTTAAGATCTACACTCTTAGCAACTTTCAAATATATAATAGAGTATTATTAACTATAGTTACCATGTTCTACATTACATCCCCATGACTTATTTATTTTATAAGTGGAAGTTTATACATTTTAACTCCCTTTACCCATTTTGCCCACCCCCCACCTCTGGCAACCTGTTTTGTGCATATATGCGTTCAGGTTTGGAGGTTTGTTTTTTTAGATTCCACAGAAATGAGATCTCATATAAGTGAGATCATATGGTATTTGTCTTTCTCTCTCTGACTTATTTCACTCAGCATAATGTCCTCAAGTTCCATCCATATTGTCACAAATGGCAAGATTTCATTCTTTTGGATGGTTGAATAATGTTTCATTGTAGGTATATATATATCACATTTTCTTTATCCATTCATCTATCGATGAACTTATGGCTGTTTCCACATATTAGCTATCGTAAATACTGCTGCAATGAACATGGGGGTGTATATATCTTTTTGGGTTAGTGCTTTTGTTTTCTTCAGTGTATAGAACACTACATCTAACAAAAAAGGAAAGCTAAATAAATAGAAACATATACTATTTAATGAATTGGAAGATTCAACATTGTTAAGATGACAATTCTCTCTAAATGGATCTATAGATTCAATGAAAATTACAGCAAGTTTTTTTNCCAGCAACACTTTGTAAGGCCAGGGTAATAACCTCTAAAATAGGAACATGCTCTGAATCAATGATACTGTTTCTCCACAGCCAGGATACACAAGTCTCCTGGAAATGAAAGGGTGGGAAAGGTAGTGGTTCCTCTCACTATTATCCCTATGGAACCACTAGCAAAAATTTCACCTGCCATTCCCAAAACTTTGGACTTAGAAGTCTTAGACACAACAAGGGTGCCACTGAACTGGAAGCAGAAGCTACCACCTGGCCACTTTGGGCTCCTCATTATACAGAACAGGCAAAGGAGGGGATTAACTGATGGGAGATGGATCCTGATTATCATGGGAATATTGGGTTGCTATTACATAACAAGGACAAAAAGGATTAGCCTGGAACCCAAAAGATAGATACTATGGGGTGCCTCTTAGTACTCCCATGTCTTATAGCAAAAGTTAGCAAAATTTTTCCTACAATAAATCCAAAGAAGCAGGACTCCTAATGGCACAGACTATTCAGGAATGAAGGTTTAGATCATAATAACAGGTAAGAAACTATGAATAAGGTGCTTGCTAAGGGCAAAAGAAATATGGAACAGATAATGGAAGAAGGAAGAAGGAATTGTAAATACCAACTATAACCACCCACAAGTTGCAGAAATAAAGACTTTATTTTCATTTTCTCTTCCATTATCTATCATCTAACAGTAATGCATATTAATAGAGATTAACTTTTTACAAAAAATACTTAACTTTTTAGAGCAGTTTTAGGTTCACAGCGGAAAGTACAGATATTTCTCATAGTCCCTGCCTCCACACATGCATAGCTTCCCGCACTATCAACATCCCACCTCAGATTGGTACATTTATTATTATACAATTGATGAACCTACACTGACACATTATCACCACCCAAAGTCCATAGTTTTCATTAGGGTTTCCTCTTGGTAATGTATATTCTATGAATGTATAGTAACATGTAGCTAACATTGTAGTATCATACAGCAGTTTCATGGCCCTAAAANCTGTCTGTACTATAATCATAAATACAGCACTTTCTTGAGTTCTGTGAGTCATTCTAGCTAATTATTGAACCTGATAGGATCATGGGAACCCCTGAATTTATAGCCAGTTGATCAAAAGTGCATATGGCCTGAGGACCTTATTTGCAGCTGGGATCTGACCTGAAGGCAGTCTTGTGAAGGGCTGAGTCCTTAATTCATGGGGTCTGCATTAACTCCTGGTACTTAGTGCCAAAACTGAACTGCAGTCCACCCAGTTGGTGTCAGACCAATTGGAGGTTAAATAGAATAACACTTCTTTTTCCTGAAGAATTGTAAAATCCAGTTTCTTAAAAGCAAAATTAAATGACTTGCAATTCAGTCAACTTTTGTGGTGATGATATTCTACAACTACATTTAATGAAGGCTAATGGCATTCTTAAATAAATATACAAACCTGTAATAAACTATATGCATTCTTCAAAACACATTTCCTTTCTGACCATTGCAAAGAAGGAACTTACTTTTATCCCTTCTAATAATCAGATAGTTTCAAACATTGCTCTAGTGAAAATAGTGGCAGCAATAGACACCACAAGGGAGCTTCTAAAAGTAAACTTTAACTGGTGTGCAAGTTAACAAACAATTCAAATGTTTGTAAATAAAGCCCATGTAACTTAGATCTACATACTAGTGTCTGCACCTTTGCCTGTCAAGTTAACTTTGACCATCACCAACTTTCAAAAAAGACCTTACTGGTGCCAGATCCTGTACTAGTCATTGGGAACACAGACACAGTCACTACTCTCAAGGAACGCAGTCTGAATCCATGACAAACAAATACACCATTCTAATACAAAATGTTAATTCCATGGTAGACACATTATAGTAGGTGCCATGGGAGCACACAGGATGTGCACCAAACCCAGATACCAAGGGGAGCTTCCTCTCTGACATTAGGCAGTAAAAGGAAGTAAGAGAGAGAATTCCTGGCAAAAGGATGAGCACATGCACAGCATCTTGAGGTGAAACAGTTCACTGAAGGTAGGGCATGAAGCTTGGGAGGGAATGTGGAGACAAGGTATAGGAGGTGGGGCAGGAGAAATGAATGAGGATCAGATCATGAAAGGACAGCATGTGGTGTTTACATGACACACTGAAAACAATGAGGAGCTTAAAGGATATTAAGCTGGGGAGTGACATGATCAGATCTGTATCTCAGCAATGAAACTGTGGTATAGGAAAAGGATGGTAAAAAGGAATTACCAAAAGCAAGTAAACCAACTAAGAAACTGGGGCAACAATTACAGCAAGAAATGGTAAGGAACTGGAAGTGAAAGACGGAAGAAGCGGTAAATTCAAAAGATAGCATGAAGGCAGAAGCAGCAGGATTATGTTCATCTGCAACTCACACAGGACACTGAGGAAGAAGGCAGAGTCAAGGATGACTTCTAGTTTTCTATCTTGAATAATTAGGTATATGTTATGTCATTCACCAAGATGAAGAATGCTGAAGGAAAAACAGGGTTGAGGGAAAATGATGAATTCTGTATGGACATGTTGACTCTGAGGCACCTATGGGACTTGTAAGTAAAGACAGGTAGGAGAAAGTCACAGACACAGGTCTGAAGCCTCAAGTGGATGGGCTATCTCTAATCCTATATTACTTAGATTCTCATTGCCTTTAAACATTCTTATCATTTGTGAGGAAGCACTTGAGAATAGTTTCTTAATTCAGTCTTCTTAGAAATATGTAACAGGGTATCCTCTAATGACAGGTCAGCAAACATAGAATTCTCTTTCTTCACTACCCAAGCAAAACCTAATACAAGAAGTTAGCATCTGAAATTTCTGAGCCAAATCTAGAAGGTAATTCTTGGCTGTTTTAAAGAGTTTTAAATACTGAAACTGACATCCAGAAATAGGATTTTGCTATTCAACATGATTGATAACTTATAATATGTAATGGAAAATCCATGCAAGCAAGGAACTTATCTGTCTTGTTCACTAGCAGCTAAAGTAATGTCTTGCACATAGTACGCTACAGAATACATACTTGTTGAGTGAATGAAATTCCTTTAGAAGAATGCTGTAATGAGTGGATAAATGAGCACCTGGTTAGACATTAAGTTAAATGAGA